AGCAATCATCCCTTTTCTCACGTATGTGTAACTACTTCATCATGCTTCCTAATGAGCCTGTCTCTATGACTCTCTCTCCCTGTGGTTCATTTCTGTTAGGTCCACAATTCCTTCATAATTACACAAGCTTTTCACATCCAGACTTCCCTGTTGTCATTATCTCCCACGGAAGACCTACCCATTGATGACTCCCCCGTCCAGTCCTGCCTTTCTCCTGGGCTTGTTTGGACAAGCAGCCCAGCCTCTCCCACTGGCATTCATTGAACACCACTCCACAGATAACAGGAGACTGGGTTGGACGCAAGAAAGTAATGATTATTATTATAGCTCCTACTTTTTGAGTGTCTGCTCTTTGCCTCATGCTGGGCTAAACTCTTTATGAGCATGATCTCATTTCATCTTCACAATAATACTCTGTGCTACACAATCTCGATATCACAAGTGAGAAATCTGAGGCTCAAAGAAGTTAAATAACTTGCCAAAGATCACACAGCTGAAGAGGTCCTGCCAGGCTATGAACCCAGATTCAATTCTGAAGTCCAGGCTCCCAATCACCATGCTATATTCCTTCCTTGAGAGCCTGCTTCTGGAATTTAAGCCTTTTCAAACTGTAAGGAAGTCCCACACATGATTTGCCAATTCTAGACATAGGTATAAATCCTCTCAACCTCTGCTGTCATACAACTGCCTCTTTGATGGTGATATTTTTCTATATTATATTATTCCAATTACTTTGCTGAATATGGAAGAATTTAAATTAATTTTTCAAAGTGTAATTTTAATATACCACACTCTAGGATAGTAAATTACTCTTAGGAAAAGTTATGCTACTTGGAAACTTCAAGTAGCCTTCTCGAGTAACCTGTAATTATAATGAATTCTGTTGATGCTATGTGCATTTTCATCGTGTATAATTTAATAAGTATGTGATGACTATCTAACTATAGTCTATAGTTCACAGAGTAATACTTTACAACAGTATTTCCTCTGTAGAGGTTATACTTCTATATGAGATGCTTGTTTTATGTCTGCATACAAGTGGTGTATTTCTACAAAATGTGCATACAAATCAAGCCTTACGAAAAAGATAGACTTTAGAAGCATAGTCTGTTTTAGAAACGCACTTCCAAAAATTTGCAGAAAAAATTACATTCCTTAATCCAATCAAGCTAAACAAATTCATTAAAATATCTGTATCCTAGCAAACATAGTAAGAATTATTTTGACAATACTCATAAGAGAAAATCTGTTATTCAAGAATAAAACAAAAAAAAAGTGAGTAAATTTTTCTGTCTCTGCAAAAGCACTGTGGACTCTCCTATATCATTGCATCCTTCAAGTGCTAAGTTAAAGAATAGAGATAATAACAAAGGAAACCCTATTGGCTCTACTTCAAACTATATTCTGAGTCAATCCACTTTTCACCACCTCCATTGCTGCCCTCTTGGTCCAAACTACTATCATCTCTCACCTGGATCACTGCAATAGCCTCCTACTTGGTCTTCCTGCCTCCCCCCTGCCCTACTTCTGTCTATTGACAACAGATAGCCAGAATGACCCTGTTACAACCGAAGTCAAACCAGGTCCCTTCTCTGCTCAGAGGACTCCAATGGCTCTCTTTTCTTTGAGAGGAAAAGCTGAAGTTGTTACAGTGACCAATACGGCCTCCCCCACTCTGGTCCCCACCTGCTCCTCATCCTCTATGCGTCTTACTCGCTCTCCCTCTGCTCCCATCACACTGCCTTTTTGCATTTCCTCAAAGATACAAGACGCACTCTTGCCTTAATGCCTGAGCTCACCTGTGCCTTTGCCTGAGAGTCACTTAGTTACCTCCCTCACCTCCTTCGGATCTTCGCTCAAATATCACCTTCCCAGTGAGGCCTCCCTGGACCACCCAAATTAATAGCAACCTTATCATCCAATCAAATCTCAAATTCTCCAATCTCTTTTACTCTGCTTTATTTATTTTTCTTCCATAACACTTACACCACCTTTTCACATACTCTATAATTTACTTGTATACTGTATTTATTGGCTGCCTCCCTCATTGTAACATCCAACAGGGCAAGGTCATTATTGTCTGTTTTGTTCACTGATGTATCAATAAAAACTTGAATAGTGCCTGGCACATAGTAGCCACTCAAATATTTGGTGTGTGAATGAATGAGTGCTAAGATTACTCAGGTATTTGTCTTAGTATTTCATTCTCTCTGGGCTTCCCCAAAATGGCCATGATGCCAGCCTCCCTGAAATCTTGGGTAATTTAAAGAGCCATGCATTAAGATATAGCTTAAAAAGTGGTTTAAAAATTACAGCCATATTCTCCAGGGTTCTGACATTAATATTGAAATATTCATCATGACATCTTGAAAGGGTCTCTGCTTTATTAAATCCTCAAAATAATTTATCATGTCAGGGACAAAATTAATTGAATTATTCTCTACTCTTGAATCAAGAATTCAACTGATTTGCTGTTTTTCCTCATTTTGGTGTGCTGTCATGTATAAGCACAGCTTTGATTTTGTGATGAACTTTTAAAAGCTATTGTTAACTCATCCTTGTGACATTTTTCAGGCACAAATGCCATGATTTAAGCAAGCATCTACGGATTCACCAGTATCTGATCCTCATTAAATGTAATTGTTCAAGTATAATGAATCTTCAACTCTCAGAATGATAATCTCTCTGGAGTAAGAATTTCCTTGAATGATATGAGATAATGGAATCTGATGCTGTTTTTTTCCTCTTTCAACAAATACTAACCACCTGTCCGCCATGATAGATCTATTGCTAGATGCTGGTGCCCAGAGATGAACAAATACCAGTACTTGTCCAGAATGGTCCAGTCTAGTGGAGGAGACTAATAGGTAAATTTCTAACAATATGCTAAGTGCTATAGCAGATTCATTGAAAAGTTCTGTGAAAACAGAAGAGAGAGTGGTTTAAAAAAATTCCTATATTATTATTGTAGATCTTTGTATTTTTTCATTTAAAAAATATTTTCAAGCACATACTAAGTTCTAGGCATTGTGCTTGTCACTTGAGATGCAGACACGAATAAGATGCAGTCTTTGGAGAGGTGCTGCTGCTGCTGTTATTCACGCTGATCCTACATGTGTGGCTGAGAATGTTATTCTAGAAATGCAACTTGGAAAAAATGACCAGTTGTAACTGGCGACGCTTTTAGAGCATGCCTTTTCCATGGTGTAGTTACTGGACACTCAAAGTGCCAGGCCCTGAGCTCAGCACTGCTGAAGAGTCTACTCTCTAATTACTACCTCTGCATGCCAGGGTGCACTGGCTGCTCTGAGTTCCAGGAAATATTTCAACCTAATAAAGCACCGAAGACTTGTAACTATTCTTGATCATAATCTCTTCTTTATCTGATTCTTGCATAATGTAGCAAGGTTTGTATGAAAAGGCTGAAGCCTCATAAATACTTTATAAAATTTTAATGCTATTATTGTGAGAGGAAAAAATTAAGAAAAAACAAGAAATACCTTCAGCCATCTTCTATGAACATTTAAAAACTGAGAAACTGACTAAGGATATCTGTGAATTGAATTGCTCATCACTTTAAGTTAATGTTGTGGCCAAGAAGGCAAGTTTGCATCACATTAAAGTGTATCGTGAAGCCTATGTACAGTGATGTGAGGATGGAGTTAGTTACATGTGAACATAAATGTGCTCTTATAACCATTAACATAGTTGAGAAATGGCAGTAATAAAACTAACAATACAGTAGTTCCCCCTTATCTGCGGGGGACACATTCCAAGACCCACAGGGGATGTCTGAAACCACGGATAGTACCAAATCACATATATACTATGTTTTACCTATGCATACATACCTATGATAAAGCTTAGTTTATAAATTAGGCACACTAAAAAAATAAAAAACAATAACATAATAAAATAGAACAATTATAACAATTTATTGTAATAAACGTTACGGTAGATCTTAGCAACCTCAGTATTTTTTTTTCTTTCTACTAAGTCGGGAACTTGCACCTTTTCTCTTAAAGGAAGCACTTTACAGCTTCTCTTTGGCATATCCAAATTGCCAGCATCACTACTCTTGTGCTTTGGGGCCATTATTAAGTAGAATAAGGGTTGCTTGAACACAAGCCTTGCGATGCCGAGATAGCATATCGGATAACCGGGACGGCTGCTAAGTGACTAATGGGTGGCAGGGTATAGTGTGGACACGATGGACAAAAAGATGATTCACATCCTGGGTGGGACAGAGTGGGATGGCATGAGATTTAATCACACTACTCTGAATGATACAGCAATTTAAACTTATGAATTTATTTCTGGAATTTTCCATTTAATATTTTCAGACCTTGATTGATCATGTGTAACTGAAACCGCAGAAAGTGAAACACGGATAAGGGGGGACTACTGTATCGTACTTAGTATATACTAGATACTATTCGTATATAAGTAATTCAATAACCTAAATGACCCTGTGTGTTAGGAACCATGATTATCCCCATTTTACAGATGAGGAAAGGCACAGCGAGGCTCATCAGCCCAAGGCCACTGCTAATAAGTGGCAGAGCCAGAATTCGTCGTACCCAGGTGATAGGGCTCTGGAGTAGGTGAGGGCAACTGCTGTGTTACCACACAGGTAAGACGGGCAGATTAGCTGTGTTCATTATTTCACTCATAACATATTTTAGCAGACTCAGTATGTATTAAGTGGATGTTTGCACTCAGAAATGCGTTAGGGAAAAAATATTCAAAGTGTATGATGGCTTGGGACAATATTACCTTTTAAATGTTTATCTGACATCTTGAAGCCTTAAAATAACTTTCAAGAGTGACTCAGTTTGTGCTTAACCAAAATTTTACTGCTGATGAGTCAGCACAACCTCAGAAGGCCTAATTACCAATCATGTACTGCAAGGCACACCCCGATAATTAGATAATTATGTCTTGTAAGGTGAGGCTGGGAGTCTTGGCTACCGCGAGTTCACTTTGCAAGGCATAGGAATTAAAAGTGGTGTGAGCTCCATGTTCTTCTGGACCTAGAACTTCAATACTGAGTGTTGTCATTTTGAAGAAAACTGCTTAATATTTATAGTGAGGTGACTTCATAAGTAAAAATCTTCAAGAAGATTTTATGCGGATTTTAAAATCAACTTAGATGTTTGGAATTTGGATTGCTGCACTCTTACTCTGTGGTACGTCAACAGGTAAGACTCATAATTTATAATAAGTCCCTTAACAATAATGAGTATGGGGCGGGCCCAGTGGCAGGGTGGTTAAATTTGAGTGCTCCACTTCAGCAGCCTGGGATTCGCAGGTTGGTATCCTGTTACGGAGCAATGGGCTCGCTCTGCTCACTGCGGCGATCTGAGCCAATTAATCACAATGAGTTAGGGATCGAGAAACGAAGTTTTAATTCAATTAGCCAGCATAACCAGGAAATGGCATGCTGTCTAGAAAGGCACAATAGTGCCTCTCAAAATCCATCTTCAAGGATTACAGAATCTTGAGGCAGTTATATAGGGAAAATGGGCAGTAAGGAGGGGGTCCAAGGATGTTGGTCTCCAGGCATGACGGGCTCCAGCCATCACATTGTTCCATTCTTCTGTCAGCTGTGATGGATACCCTGTAGGTGTGTTTCCCACCTGTGGTCAGCCTGTTCCTGGAGAGAGACTCATAGAACAAAGTTTTTAATTTATCAAGCTATCAGGGAATACATATATAAGCAGAGGCCATAAATCAGGAGAACATGTGAATTTTTCAGAGTACATGCAGAGCAGCGAGTAGTCACACAGAGGAGGGACTGGGGCCATTTAGTGAACAAGATGGCCTCACTGTGCTCGCTTACAATTTTCCCCTATGTCCATAGTAACCCATAATCTTATGGTCAAGGGAGAGATAGGGCATCGTAATTCTTCTAGCTACTTCCTGCTGAATCAGGGTGTCGTAGGGAGACCATATTATGGAAAAGAGTTACTTTATATTCACTCCCTTAAGGTGAGCTGTAACTGTGAGAAGATAGAAGAGATCAAAGTTTCCTTTTAAAGGCATGTTTTAGCTCTCCAAGGGGTTCTGCCACCCACTTTCCACTCCATACAGGTGGGATACTTTCCTGTGATTTGGGGGCTGCCTTGATCCCGGAGTGATGTATGTAGGCTTTCATGCCTGTAAGTTTTACAGATGAGTGAGTGGTGAGAAGAATCTCCAAGGGGCCCTTCCATTTGGTTTTTGGGTGCCTGGTCTTTCCAGGTTTTCAGCATCATGATCACCAGGTCAGAAGGTGTGTAGATGGATCTCAGACGAATATGCAGACCTTTGAGAAGCAAACTCATGGACAGAAGTTAATACACAGCTTAATGATTTAACATAATTAGTAATCATAACACTCCTTAAAACGTCCAGAGATTCAGTCCCCGGGGAAGATGCCTGAAAGAGTCTCTCATATAGAATTTCTAAAGGACTCAATTTAAGTCCACTTCGGGGAGCTACTCTAACCCATAGCAGGGCAAGGGGCAGTGCCTTATCCCAAGTTAGTTGTGTTTCCTGACAGATATTGGCAATGGTTTTCTTTAAGGTGTGATTCATTTTTTTCCCATCTTTCCAGTTGATTGATGTCTCCAAGCTGAGTGTAGTATCCATCGGATGTCTAAGCTTCTGGATACTTGTTGGGTTATTTGGGAGACAAAAGCTGGTCCATTATCACTCTGCAAGATATTAGGCAGACCAAACCTAGGGATGATTTCTTTTAGCAACATGTGAGTGACTTCTGATGCTTTCTAAGTCCAAGTGGGAAAGTCTTTTACCTACCCAGTGAATTTGTCCGTAAACACTAACAAAACCTAAAATTCCCAGTTGCCCGGAGCATCTGGGTAAAGTCTATTAGTCAGTCTTCAGTAGGCCAATTTTCTTTATGTTGGGTGCCCGGATGTAGGGGACTGGAAGTGATCTTGGTGTTGTTCTTTGCACAGGTTCTGCAATTTTTAGTCACCTGTTGTATAGTCCTTTGTAAGTGAGGACCTGTGATGTACTTCTGGCTCTCTCTGGTGGCCGGGGCAATGCATGCTAGCTACCTAAGCAGACTCATTAATAGTAACAAGCAGTTTTAAGATTTTAGGTCCATGCCTGATTTTTTTTTCTTCTGCTGTTAAGAGTTTCCTTTCCTTCCAGATTGTCCCATGAGCATGAACTACAGCAAGGCATAATGGGAATTTGTGTATATATTTACATTTTTCCCTCAAGCTAGATCTAGAGCCCAAGTGAGGGCGATGATTTTCACCTTTGGGCCAATGTCCCTGGGAGTAGGGCTTTAGCTTCTAAAGTCTTTTATAAAGTTATGACCACATACCCCCTGCGTCTCTTATCTTGCCATCTGCTGCCATCTGTGACAAGTTGCAACTCAGTTTCTTCCAGCAGACAGTCCAACAAATCAGGTCGGCTAGAATACACTGTTCCAATAACTCGTAAGCAGTCGTGTTCTAAGGCTTCTGATGTCTCATTAAGGAGCAAGGTGGCTGGGTTTAAGGAGGACAATACTTGCATCCGTACATTTGGATTGTCCGAAAGGATGGCCTGGTATTTGTCCATCCTTCCTGTGAGCCAGTATCCTCCTTTTTGTTCTAATAATGTGAGTTCTTGATGTGGCACATATACCATGGTGGGTTGGCCCAGAGTGAATTTTTCAGCTTCCTGCAGAATGTCGCAGGTAGCAGCCACTTCCCTGAGGTGGCGGGGGCAGCCCTTGATAGTGTGATCCAATTGCTTGGAAAAATAAGCTATTGGCAGGGGGGTCATGCCCAATTTTTGAGTTAAAACCCCCAAGCTTATTTCCTGCCTTTCATGTATATATAGGCTTAAGGGCTTGTCGAAGTTAGGAAGTCCCAAGCCTGGCGCTGGAATTAACTTTGTCTTAACGGTATCAAAGGCCACCTGACACTCCTTTGTCCATTCGAGTGGCTCCTGGTCTAGCCTTCTTAGAGCCTCAAAGGGGGTTTTACTATGAGTCCATAGTTAGGAATCCAGATCCGACAGAAACCAGCCATGCCTAAGAATCCTCGTAGCTGTCGCCGGGTGGTGGCAGGGCTCAGGCAGGCTATAGCCCTTTTTTTTTGGTCTGGCAGCAGTTCCCTCTGGCCTTTTGATAAAGTAAATCCCAAGTACGTAACTTTCTGTTTGCAGATCTGTGCTTTCTTTTGTGAGACCTTGTACCCACGTTCAGCCAAATGATTCAAGGTCTTTATTGTGTTGGCCAGACACTGCTCATAAGTGGGGCTCACGATCAGCAAGTCATCCACATACTGTAACAGCAATCCTTCTTGTAATTGTCTCAGGTCTTTAGCCAGGGCCTCCCCAAATAGCATAGGGGAGTTTTTGAAGCCCTGGGGGAGCACTGTCCAACAATATTTTTGAGTAGCCTGAGTGTCTGGGTCACACCATTCAAAGGCAAAGAGTTGTTGTGATTCTTCTGCGAGCGGTATGCAGAAAAATGCATTCTTTAAGTACAAAACTGAAAACCAGCCGTATTCACCCGGAATGTTGGTTAGCAAGGTGTAAGGGCTGGGCACCATAGGGTGCAGGTCCTGAACCACCTCATTTATGGTGCGAAGCTCCTGAACAAACCGATATTCTTCTGAAATAGGGTTTAGTTTTTTGTTTTTGACCAGGAGAATAGGAGTATTATATGGTGACTGGCCAGGTCCGATTAATTCTGCCGCCAGGAATTGCTGCAGCACTGGCTGAATGCCATCTGAGCCTCCTGTTGTAGCAAATATCGTTTCGGGCGAGGCTTTATCTTTTGGGTTTTCAAAGGTGTATGTATTGGCTGGACATTCTTTGCTTTCCCAGGCTTCCCATCTGCCCACACGTGCTGTCTTACCTCCTTGAGACTCTCCAGTGGCAGCGGGTCCAGAGGTGGTATTTGAACACCTAGCAGGGCCACCTGGAACTGTAAAGATGATTGTTCCAGTGGCGTTTGTACCTCTAGCTGGCCTGGAGCAAAAGTCACTTGAGCATTCAGTTTACATAGAAGGTTTTGTCCCAGGAGGAGAACGGGGCATTCAGGCATATAACATTTTTCCAATTAAAAAGATCTGAGGTAGAGAAAGGAGAGTGCATCCAAATGAAGCCAGCCAGTTGCCCTTGCCCATTTATGCCTATGGGATATTCTCACAGTGGAAATTGCCTCGTTCCAGGAAGGGGCCCCCTGACCAAAATGTGTCCCTTGCCAGGTTCGTGAAGGAGAGAGTACCTCTCTTAGAACGACTGCCAATACCTCAGGCATTTTCCCCTGGACAAGCCGTGGGCCTGGGAAAAGGGGGAGGAGGGGGAGGAGGAGCCGGGGGACTCCTGGTCCATTGTCCTCTCTTCCCTGATCTAGCTATAGCAGCATAAAGGCTTAAACATAGGGGATTTTATTTTCCTTTCCCTCCTTCTTGTAGAACAATTCTAGCTGCAAAATCATATCATAATTAAGTGACCCGTTTGGGGCCACTTTTCACCTGAGCCCCGTGTATCTGGGGCCAGGCTTCATTACAGTAGATGATTATCCTTTTCTTTGTCGTGGGCTCATAACTGAAATCAGCCCAATTGGCCAGCATGCACTGTAGTGGGCCTTTGTTTTTTTATTTTTCATTTTTGTTTTTTTTGGAAGGAACAGAGTGGTGCCCATGGCGATAAAGTTTGTGTCTGACTAATGGACCCAGAAAAGGGTGCAGGGCTTGACTCCAGGCATCCAGGTAACTATGGGACTTAACCAAATCCCACTCCACCAGAGAGTACAGTTTTCACACCAGTGCTAAACAAGCCAAAGACACAAAGGGTAAGATCTAATTTTTCAAGGCCAGTGTAGGAGGGCAGATGCCTGGCAGAAAGTTTCTGTCTTGCAGGAAGTCCAAGTCCAGCTTACTTTAAGCCCAAACCTAACTTCCACACAATGACAGCAAAGAAGGTGCCAGATAAGACAGATAAAGAGGGTGGATAGATGGTCGGGCTGTGTTCTTATGGCTTTCACCCAAGGGTTAACACGCAAACAGCAGTGCCTGCATTGAGGCATCCAATTCTGGCTTGACACTTGACAGAAAAGATTGCAATCCTCACGTCCCCACAGATGATGTCACGGCACTGGAAGTGTGCTGTGAGATTCTGACACAGAGAAAAACTGGCACACAGGCTAGTGGAACAACACACACGCTCAACAGGAGAACAAGCCATA